TTTTTCTTTCGTGTAATTCAATGTTTATATGAAAGTAGCTGTTTCAGGAGGACTTTCTTTCAGTTTGTGTCTGAAAGTTACTTCTTTGCATGATCTACACATCCATGTATAGAGTTACTCATTTTCAAACTGATTCCTTTCTTTGGAAGATTCCCTTATTCTATTTTTTTGTATCAAGATGGAGTGGTAGAAAGCCAAAAACTTTCTTTCTCATAAAATATTATGTTAAATGTTACCATCTGATAGCCTTGTTTGAATTATTAACGACATTTATTAATGTGGGTGACAAATTATGATTACTTCGATTAATTGACTATACCAAGAATTAAACGGTGTAATTAAAAAGTGTACGCTGGACGGTTGCTGAGTGATTGTAACAACGGATAATTGAAATAGGATTGGCAATCCATAAATTATATTCAACCAGCGACCCTACGGCTTCTCACGGGTAGTAGAATACTTACTTATGCCAGCATAAAAGGTTCCCGTTATTTTTTCTGATTGATTCGGCTGTTACTTGATGAAGAGCCATAGTAATTTCAAAAACTATACCTAACGATTTGATCTCCACAAACTTTATTTGAAGAAAGAATATATTACGACATGTTTCGCTAGCACAGTAGCTTCTTCAGCAGTGATTTGAATACATACTACTACAACTGGGACATTGGGACTACCTCCATCAAATTACCTGAACCTCTAAAAGTCTTATATACCTGAGGTACCTCTTCAATTATGATTACCTGAAGCATATTACCTCACTTCTACAACAATAATGATATTTTCTGGATTTTTTAAAGAAAGCAAGTTCAATAATGGTGATCTTCTCAAATCCAGTTGGTCATTCATCAGAATGTTTGAATTTTTAAGTTTATTAATTTCCATTGCTTCCAAATGATTCAGTTTCAAACCTTTATTTTNTTTTAGAAATATCGATATTAATGTGTTTGTCTTCAAGAAATTTTCAAATGTTTCGCCATTTTGTAGAAGGTGAAGATATTGACTTCATATTCTGGAGTTGTGAAGTATTCAAAATTATGTGTCACAAGACCCCCCTTAACATTTACTTTTTTTCCAGATCCATCTGGAGTTTCATTTGTCAATTTCACTTCAAAATAAAGTATCCATGCACCAATTTCATTATCCCAAATTTCATTTTTTTTGTGTTGAGCCGTTCAAAAATAAAAGGGGGGGCATTAAAAAAATGCACTGTATACTGATCGGTGGAACTAATTCCTAATGAAAATCATTCGGTTTCTGGAAGTAAACAATCAAGTCGGAAGTCAAAATAACCAGTAGTCTTTAGAACTATATCTTAGATAAGTGATAAATTGTTGCCTCTAGTCGTTGATAAACTCACCAAACAATGGTTAGCCTCTTCTCAGTTCAATAACTATTTGATAATTTCTATAATCCGATTCGAAAGTTCATGCGATCTGACCATAATAA